TAACGTCATGTACCTTCCCGTCTGTCTTTTTGCAATGACCCTTAAAGGTATGTTATCGTAGGTATTGCATGATTATAATGTAAAAAAAACTATGTAGTTCTATTGCCGTATCCAGTAATACTTTAGAAGGTACAGTTATATTCGCATGAAGATAATAAGTATTTCTTAAGAAACATGTATTCTATAGACGACTTTTTCGCACATTCCTCTTCTTATGTTATAAATATTATGTGTATATAATGTTTATTTTGTACATAATATACTTTAATGCTTTACTAACAATTTAACTATGAACTAACTGTATCTTTTTGTAACAATCATCTTTATAATGTATCGTCTCTCTCCTGACTTGCTGCCTAAAATCTGACAAAATACACCTCGTACCTTCAGTGTCTATAAGAAAGCCACGTGTGATTCAAAAGTATCACATAAAAGTAATTCGGACTACTTGAAACAAATTGTGTATGTTATACGAATGATTAATTTCATTCGCAGAGTCGTTGAACTTGAAAATTTGACATTTTGGAGATGTAGCCTTATAACACATGGGGTGCGACTTTAAATCATTACTTTGATTAAACTCTATAACTCATTCGTAAGGTAAATTCCCCCGACAAGAATGAGTAAGAATCTATGGGGTTGCTCTGTGTAATTAGACATTTTGTACATTTATTATTTACAATAGAACTAGAACGAAACGGGTTACTATCGTGGATTTTTGTCATTTCAAATACGTAGAAGCTGTCATAACACTTAGTATAACCTCCTAAGGCTTCGTGTACAAAATGTACATAATATCTGACGTAATGCAGACCCAGACAATATTTTTACTACAATGACATAAACGCCCAGAAGGACCTACACACAGTTATAATGAAAATATCTCATTCGAATTTAGCGGTATTTATTCTACCTCTGTATAAGATCACAGAAGTATCTAGAAAAATATGTTTAACATACAAAATTGAGGCGGTACTTGCTTGGACCTGAAGCATGTATTAACTTTATATCAATTACATTTAGCACATTTTAACGTACATTAGGCGTTTAGCGCTTTTCCAATTATAGTTTCCTGGGTTTTAGAAGGTTAAAATTCACACACTAGTTTCATGAGAGACGTTTGGTTCATACCATTTTTATAATTTTCATGTGATATGTATGACACCTTTGACGCATGATCACATGTGACATTATAATACCTTAGTAACAGTAGAGCTCGTAGAGAAAGAGTTCGTCCAGAAAAGTACTGCCACCTTTAGCATTACTGCGTTTCGGTTTCGAAGGGTAAGGATGCTGGTGAAATTGCAAGCACGTGGGACGTATTAACTTATGTCTCAGGGTGACGACGGGCACAGTGACAGTGCCTCTAAGATCTTTCTAGAATATTTGCGGTTAAAATCTCTGAGTGGCACTGCTCGTTAAACAAGCTAGATAGAAATAGACCCGAGCTACATCTCAAGTTGTGAAGTGTTAGACCGAAAATATATTAGACAGAAAAATTCACCTAATGCTACTTAGGATAGGTAGACAGGAAAGGGACGATACTAAAACAACACGAAGGTAAGTACAAATATGTCAGTCTATTTATCTTTTAATTAAATATTAGCATACTTAATTGACCATTTCTAAATTTCCTTCGATTTTCAAAACTACACTTAAAAAGGTACGCAGCGAGGTAATAATTTATCAAACAAAATGAATTCCATGTATTATTATTCTGTGTTAAAAAATGACGTACCTAATTATATGCGGTCTAAGCGGCGCAGGTTATTGACTAAAAATTCAAGAAAATAGGACGTTATGGATATACCACGCTCCCTTAAATCCCCTTTAATACTACATTAATTATTCTAATTTTTTTTTGTAGTACAAGGTCAAGATTACGTCAAGATACGCACGTACAAATTTAGATTTAAATTCAACTCTATGCCGCTTGCATTAAGAACGGTCCAAAGTGTCAAACTTTACATGCTTTTGGTGTACACCTAAGGCGCAAACATTTTTCAATAGTATTTTGAAAATAATAAAATTAATCAACAAACAATTTATAATTTTATTGAAATTACACGAGTTGAAAGATGGAAAAAATATATATTAATAATATACCACATAATAATATACTAAATCCCGTAAAGTTAGGTCGCCTGTCGAGTGATTTGAACCTCATACCAAAAGTTTATTTATTTATTTATTAGGCGCTCCGACAGTTACTACTGTATTTCATGTAGTTATTAATACATTTTATAAACTTACTCTAATCACTTAACTAATTATATAGGTGAGCACCTCATGCAAAAAAAATGTTTAAAAACTACCAAAAATAATTTTAAGACTAAAAACGAAATAGGAAGATTTTTTAAAGTTTTAGAGTTTTTTGAAACAATGCTGTGTAACCGAACCAAAATTGAAAAAGAATTTTTATTCACAAAGAAAAAGTTATTCACAAAAGATAGACTAATTTGTAGGAAAATAATTTAAAAATCTCCCTGTCTAACGACAAACTTAAAGAGCTAAGCATGAAAAGAAATTATGCAACATGTATGTATGTAGGTATGGTTTACATAACCTATTGTTTTGTCAATTGTCTACTTAAGAATTATCAGACCGAAGTAACTATACTGGATGACAACTAAATTAAGCCTTTGTAATAGAAAAAGTTATTTCAGTAATCTGGATATACAGAATGTCTAAGAATGTTATTCTGTGAGTCAAAATGAACAGCTTTTGAAAATTATTGAAAAACTACTTCTATATACTTGTTACATACAAAACTTGTAACATCCCAGTTTTTTAATATTGAATCCTATAAACAGAATGGCGATCCATCAAGAAATATCCTTAATGTAAAAAACATCCAAAACCATTTGATAAAAATCAAAACTGAAATTCAACTTAAAAAAACAACATTGTTTTATAATAGTAATAAGGTTGGTATTACAATGTGATCGAACGGCTAATACTGGCTCCATGATCTAGTAGAAACTTTTATGGTTTTGTGCGTCTGTTATCTGCCACATATATAACAAATTGATCTCATAAAATGGCTGAGATAAAGAAATTGATTGTTGAAGTCGACAGAGATATTCGCCGTCAATATAATTTTCGGGGCGTTCATCTCTCAACTGTTGAATTACCTTTATAGAGGTCATCAGGAATTTAATTCTTTGGTACCTGATTATACAAGTGACAGCGGCGTCGCGATCCAGACCCATTGTTTCTAACTTACTAAATGGTTGCGATTTTACTGTTATTGTATTTTTTAAATAATTACAATAAAGAATTTTATAAATAAATAATTATGAATCCCAAATTAATACTGTTATTATAGACACATCAAAAAAAGGAGGCGGTTCTCCATTCGACTGTATTTTTTTTTGTATGGCACGTGTTATGATTTTGTTTTTGTTGGAAAGAGGGTACCTCACTAGTGATCCCATTTAAATTTGAAGAAAATATTCCACCTCTAAGGATGGCAAACTAAAGGATGAAGCCGGTTTCGCGCACTTTTCGGTAACCGATTTCATTAAAACTTGGCAAATAGATGTAATTAAACGGACTTTTGAGGTCGGTTTTTTTAGTACTCCGTACTGAGATTATTTAAACAAAGTTTGCAGACGATAGGAAGAAATTACCAATTACATTTTACAACTGGGGCAAAAATAATTATACCAAATAAAGAAAAATTATAAAATTTCAGATGACAATGATTCTAAATAACAGGAACTAAATATTTGTTTTCATTTGCATTAAAGCAAATTATTGCCTTAACTATTTAAAATATATTGCGTTGTGCTACTAATAAGATAATAAGTCATGATTAACTGTGTTACCACATGACCCCGCACTCACGCTGTATATTTATAGAAATAAATTAAAAATATAATGGACTCTATGACAGGATACATAATGAACATTCTGAAATAGCATTTTTATAGCTCAAACAATGCAAAGTACAGAGGTATTGCGCACAAAAAGAAATTAGCGTGATTATTACCACGTAATCGGTCATAATCGGTAGTTTTTATCCTCTATTCTCTAATTGCATATTTTTTGTCGTTCAACCTTCTATAGACGAGTGTCTAATAGAATAAAAGATGGAACGGTAGCAAGAGAATGCAAAGAAAAAACACGCTTCGTCATTTTGTTGTTGATCCTTGAACCAGCTCATTATGATAAGCCACATTCCATTAGTATCAGTACAATGTAGACAAAATAAAGAACTTAAATAGGTGTAAATTTTGTTAGAAGAATTCATCTGCTCGCTTTAGGAATTTAGTCATCATTTGTCCAAAAGAAAGTCTGTCTAATTTTGTGTTTGTGTCAATCTAATGAGTGTTTTTGTAGCCTGTCAGTCCGCTGGTTATCCTTAGAGTCTGGATGCTATTATTAGAAGGTGGAAAATAAATTAAAAATATTAAAACAAAGTAAACATGACATACTTGACTGTACTGTCAAGGTACTTCCAGTAATTTTAACGAAAAATCATAACAGATTTTAACTTATAAAATAATTATTTTATTTAAAAACCGACTTCAAAAGTTTACGGAATTACATCTATTTGCGTAGTTATCTTGAAATCGGTTAACGGAAAGTGGATAAACCTATAAGCCGGATTTAATCCCCTAATTTACCATCCTTAGAGGTTTTCTTCAAATTTGAATTGGTCTAATTCAAATGAGACTGAGATACCTCCTGTCCAACAAAAAAAAAATCATTGTGATCGGTAACACACAAAAAATACAGACAAATTGAGAACCTTCTCCTTTTTTTGATAGTCGGTTAATACAACGACCTTTTTAGTGTAAACTACACCATTAATATTTATACTTTAAAAAACCTACATAATTTATAAAAATTAAATACATTAAATTATTACCACGCCTGCATTGAGTCGTCTGTGATCTCTACTTCCCAAATTCCTGGAATACCACGTTTCTCGCTGCCTTCACAACCAAACATAAACAACCAAAAAATAAAACCAATAAAACGAAATCTTCCAGATGCGGAGGGTCCCTGATCTCACGGCGTCACGTGGTCACGGCTGGCCACTGCGTAGCGCGCGCGCAGCCACGGCACGTGCGCGTCACTCTCGGCGATTACGTCATCAACAGGTACCCTCTATTTTCTGAATCCTGAATGGATATATATAATGTTAGACGGACTACAAACTGGAGAAAATACAACGATATGTATGGACAAGATGCGGCGTTCCATACACACGCTGTGGTTCTCTGATGAGCGGTGAACACAATACTTCAATATCATAGATTAATAAGCAACAGAAAGTTCTGATTACAAAATAACAGAGCTGGGAATTATCCCTAAATTTATATATGGTAACCACTAACTATTTTATTCATCGATATTTTAAAAATATGAAAAAGACGAGGCTGCATGGTCGAAGACCGCAAAGAAAAATACATAACATAACATCAATAATTTCAACAACTCGACGGTATTTTTTTTCTTTTACTTAATTTGTTTTTCTTTTTAGTATTATAACCATAGGAATGAAACTATTTTTCCGGATTATAACCATTATAAATATAAGCGGAACACCTCTGGGTAAAAAAAATAATTAAATGTATTATGCAGCTAATAGCGACTTTGCCGGGTATTACTTTTGCTAAACACTCAATATTATTTACCTGTCTTACCATACCATGATTCCGGTGAAGTTTGAGATTTGAAGTTTCTAAAAATGAGTGATGTAAAATCGAATGACAAAATCGATTTAAATATCTTATCGAGATAATTTGTAACGAAGAGAGAATCGATTTACTGGTAAGAATTTAAGCATAAATAATAAACAAATTGAAAGGGTTCAATTATTATTAACTAATTCAATTATTTTTTTTAGTTATTAATAACACAATTATTTTAATCCTTTGGGCACTTAAGTGCCCAAAAAAACTACACAATACGTAAAAAAAATCAACAACACTCATTAAATAAATCATAAAATCAACTGTAACGAAACAAACTTTGAACAATTACTCCAAAACCATCACGCAAACCTCAAAATAAAAGAAAACGACCCACATACATTGTATACGCGCTCGTATAGACGCGAGACTCACAATAATTTAGATTACATTTATCGATTTTATAGTGTAAATCTCTATAGATAATATATTCCGTTTTACACATCAAGTAATCGGAGTAATTTAATGTTATCTTTATCATTAAATTTTCTTTTTTCCTTAATATACTCTAATTTTTATTTAAAATTACAACTGTAACCAATATTGTTTGTTTGTGGTTCATTATGACAAAGTTACTACTTTTATTTGTAACCTAATGACAGATTAGTTATAAACAGTATGCGTGCAAAGTAAAAATTGGGAATGTCACAGAACTCATTCTATGTGAAATGGACTACAGCTCATTCCCAGTAGTAGAGTAACGGTGCTATGGTACTAATACTCTTTAACGAATTTCAACATTATAACAAAACACTATCACTATTGATAGTGTTTTGTTTGCATCGAGTGTATAACTAGAAATAGAGACGAAATGTCATTTAAACTGTTTGAAAACTATTCTGCCATAACATTATTGTGACAACTGCGCTCCGATTGGTCAGCCTGAATTCGAAACAATAGACGGGTGTCGTCATTGACTTACAATTATATGGACGTCGGGTCCGCGCTAAAAAGTGTCCGAACTTGTAAGGCGCTAAAATCGTATACAGAGCGCCAAACTCCGCTTTAGTCTTCATTTGTTCTACTGACAGCGCGATACTGCGATGACATTACAATTTAAATTTCGAATAGATTGACTTGGGACATTTTTTTCGTGGTTTTTGTATTAGACCCGTCGTCCATTTATTTGTAAGTCAATGGGTGTCGTCAATTGTTTCACTTCAAATCGAACTTTGCTATAATGGACGAAAATTGCAAAATCACATATTTAATATTTAATTACCGATGAAATTTGTGTTTTGTAATTAGATGTTTTGCTGTTTTTCCCCACAGCACCGAATGGAGCAGCACGCCATTGTTAGAGATATTATCTTTATTACAATAAATACAGAATATTTTTCGAATATACGGAGACGTACACACAGGTCAGTAGTTGGCGCTGTACTATTTCAGCTTTCTAATTTGTAATTTCAGTGCAAACGAGAGTTGATATTTATAAGTGATGTATCACTGATGAGTTACCAGGAGTGTATGGCCCTTATTTCGTCTCTATTTCTGATTATATACTCGATGTTTGTTTGGAACATGTAGTTGCCGTGAATGTTCTTGTCTGTACATTGAAATCGTTAAGTAAATATGAGATATTTAGTAGGATATGATACTGTATAATGGTGAAATTGCATGCATATAAAATTTGTCAACTACATGTCTCAGGATGACAGAGTCAGTGGCAGTGCCCCACAGATTCTTGCGATTTAAAGCTCTGAGAGGCACTGCAATTATTGTGAATAGGCGTGTCGCTTACCAACAGGCACACGACTTGTTCGTATCTCAAAAACAGATCAAAATACTACCTACCCAAACATGTGGACAACGTTTTCGCGACACTACATGTTTGCTCCGACAATAAAATTATTACGAGATTAGTTTCAGCGTGTATTAAGAACAAAAACATACTTCTTCTGCCTAATGTTTGATGTTCAATCTCTTCTCTCAATTCCAGTGCTGCGGAACCCCTACCAGCGTACACGTTCGGCGTGCGAGCGATCAAAGTTCATCCTCTGTTCAAATTCACTCCACAAGCCGATCGGTTTGACGTAGCTGTCCTCACTCTAGACAGGAATGTCCACTACATGCCGCATATAGGTTGGTTTACATTTCTTTAGATGTAATACAAGCGTATTGTAACCACATTGCTTTTAGAACTGACAATCACTGTGAAATACGACACATCCGTAGAACAAAGATCTATGTGCAAGACTACTTGTTCTCAGGACAAAGTACATTTCGTTCGTTCTTTCTTCGCTGTGGAAGTCAGATCGACCGTTGTTCGATTTTATATTTCCGAAAAGAAATAAGGTACATAAATTGTCGAAACACCTTTTCATAGGCCTTAGTTTGAATAACTAAATTATTCTCGTAACGCACTTATTCTCTTGTCGCTGTATAATCACATCGGACTCTGTTCTTCGGATGAGTCGAATGGTTTTAAATTGAGTTAAAAAAATAAAATCGGCTTATAATATAAAAAAGCATGTCAGAAGGGTCCATAACTCAGCATCTGAGGACTTTGCTTCACTAAGCCCTGGTGTTCCGCCTAGGCTATTCATACACCACAATCGAAATATATCGCACTGCTATTACAAAATTTAATTCTCTGCACGTCAATACAATTGTCGTTAGAATGTTAAGAGAAACAATTAAAAGATATCTGCTTAACTGAAAATTAGATAAACTTTTTGTAAGCTAGTCCTTACTCAAAAACATGAAATGTTTCTCTTCTACTTATAAATATATTTGGCAATGTAGGAAATTGCTTAGATGTCTGTAATAAATTTTAACCTATACATAAATTTTAATAATCTTTCACAGGAAGTAATTTGTTTTTCATCGATTCTGAAATAAATACACTTTTTGAGTTAATACACTATTGTATTAACTGTGCGATATATTTAGGTACCAAAAAAATCAATATTCAAATAATTATAAACAATTAGGCATTAAATAAATAAAATTTGACACAAACAAAAATTAGACGAAAACAATAATCGATTTGAGTAACAAATAATTTAAATTGCACTAGATCAAACATACACAAATGCACAGAATAGATATACAAACTACTGGTGGGTAAATTTCCGAAAAATTTCAAATATTGGAAGTTTTCCGGAAATATTCCCGAGAAAATTAAAATTGGGAAAAATATAATTTCAAAGGCTCATATTATGTTCTACATTTAAAAATATCTTTTGACGTTTTATTTAATATGAATTAAATAAAATAAACTTGTATAGCTATGAGCCACTTGAGAAAAACGAGATTTAAAATGATTTCACAACAGCGAAAACAAACCTCTAAAATATCTCCATATCGTTTTCGTTCAGTAACTTCAATTTTTGACAGGTGTCAACGTGAAATGTCGAAAATTAAAGGAAAAATATTCGGGAAGATGCCTATTTTTCTTAAAAATAAGATTTTTAAATGGAAATTTTGCCATGGCCATACATTAATACAAACACAAACTACTTCTTAAGGCCTGCTACCGAGATCGCTTTTCAAACAGCCTCAGAAAACATTGCTACTGCCTGCTAATCTCCATACACCAGCTCGAAACTCTGAAAATGGTCAAAATTCCGTTTTTCTAGACGTAGAGCGTCTTTCATTTTATAGGAACTAGTAACGACTCTGTGTCCTCGTATGTGCATTAGCTCCTGCTTTAATTTTCTTTTGACTTCATGCACAGGTGTTTAAAATCGTGCAGTCTTAGAATTTAGAAACACACTTTTGGTGTAATAAGGCCACATCTGTAAAATTATAACTTTATATGAAAGAGGTATAAAGATTCTACGAACGAAATAACTCGATAACTTGTTATTTTAAATTTTTATTCAATTGATATTCAATTTTTTTTTTTTGTGAAATTACTCCACTAGTTTGTTATAATTATTAATCAAAGATCGAACGCTCAGAAAAAATCTATCTAACTGGGTGATAAAACTTTCATAAATTTCTCATAGATGGCGCTACGACTAAAAAGTCGTTGAAAAACCAAATACAAAGACACGACAACAAGCACAAAGAAAAATTCGTGAGGTCCACTGATTCGTTCCGTGGCTTAGTTGGTATAGCGTCTGTCACGGTAAGCTAGAAGACGTCGCGTCGGTTCGAATACGGCCGGATCAAAGGAACGTTTACTGAGTTTTTGATCTTTGTATTAATAATTATAACAAGCTTTTTTATTCCTTAAATAGAGTTTTAAAGTTCTCTTACACGTATTTTGTTTTTTGTAGTTTATGACGTTCATGTGATAAAAGCATTGAAAACATATGGCTTTATTATACCAAGAGCGACTTCTTCTGAACTACAAGTTTCCAGTAAGTAAGTAAGTTTCAAGAGCGGTCCTAATGTTACCAAAACTTACTTCCATTTTCCAGCACCAATCTGCTTACCGGAACGAGGGTCTGACTTCCTGGGACAATATGGCTGGGCAGCAGGCTGGGGCGCGCTCAGCCCTGGCTCCAGACTTCGTCCCAGGACGCTGCAGGCTGTTGACGTGCCAGTGTTGGACAATCGGGTTTGCGAGCGATGGCATAGGGCCAATGGTAGGTTTTATGGAGAATACGTACAGCATGTACTTGAGCTAATAAACAGTAGAATTTACAAGGAACCATTGGTGTTATTAAGCGACTATATTTACGGATGTGTGCAATACTATAGTAACACTTGACCTCCTTGTGAAAGAAGTCGTCCAGGGAAGTACAGCCATTCTACCTATTTCTGTCGCTAAGCAGTAATGTAAACTTTTTTTTTTTTATTGTGACTCGGTAAAATGACTGAACCGCGCCTGATGGAAAGTGCGAATACAGTCCAGAGATGAGAGTAACGGATGGAAAACACAAATATCTTCACTCCGTTACTATCATTTTGCCGGTCTGGCCAAATTATTTACATTATTGCGTTCCGATTTTGAAGTGTAAGGGCGGAATTATTCGACACGGATAAATGCGCCCGCCGAGCGGAGTCCGCGTTGCCACCGCGCTGCGACTGCGTGCGTCTAACTGTCATGCCAAAATACGCTCTATATGTTTAGCTTTTACGTTTTAACTTAAATGAGCGTCTCGGGCACGCGGGCGAGACTGGCTTGAATTTGGTCAACGCGACAGCCGCGCAGCTCACACGCGGTTGTATTATTCACAGGAATTTAAATGTTGTTGCATAGTAAATAGAATTCGGTTTCGCCATTAATGTACAGTATGAAGGGACATGTCATATTATGTCTCACGGTAATGGGCGCTGTGCAATGCACTCACTGCAACTGTTATGCTCTGGCCACACAGAGGCGGTTGCGGTAGCGTTCCGGGAGCGGGAATTTTTGTACTGTTTGAGTTCTTATGCAACTTTTTTTTTGACGGGGGTGTATAAATTTATACATACGCCTGAGCCCAGGGAGACTCAGGGATTATGTGGGGACTCTACCTCCAGACTGGAGGACGTACGCCGAGTCGGCGCCGTGGGATAGGTAACATTCACCACGACGTCGCCCGGCCGTCCTAGTTTGCGCCAGGTCTCCCGCGCCAACGGAAGGGCGGGTCCGTTGTCCTCTGACCCGCCCCCCAGACGAGTGAGTCCGTGCAATGCAGGATCGAGAGTCTCTGTCCAGAGCCCGCTGGCCTCACTAGGGGTGTTCTTATGCACCCTACCACATTGAAACCGGAAGGCTGGACAGAGCGGGCCGGGCGAACGTGGGGCGAGTGCGGACGCAAAGATGTATTCCACTGAGTTCTACGCAACCGTCCAGCCACAACGGCAGGGGGCGGTCCGGGAGCGTGGCTTTGTATTTTTTTACGATTCTTAAATATGTTTTTATTAAGTTTCAGTATGAAATCGACCGAAATTTCTTTTGCGTTGTTTCCGTAACGCGAATAAAAGCAGATTAATTTTCTTGAACAATATCCGACAGCGATATGGTGCTTTCTTTAAAATTTAAGTAGAAAATGAAACGTAGTTGGTATCTACGCGTAACTACGCGTGGGACTGCCGTGTAGCACGCCCCAGTACGTATTCGGTTCCCGCAGTGCTGCCCCCGGACTGCTTCCCGCTGTACCGCATCGTGTGGCCTGAGCCTTTGTGGACAGGCGTACCGCTTCCGACCAGGCGCACGACTTTATCGTCTCATCACTTAGTATTGTAAAACAACATTTGAACCTACTATATATTAATTTAAAAGCAAGTTCTCCTTGCACTGCTCATTCACCAAAACATTTAACGTTCACCTGCTGTTCGCCTTTACTTCGCCGTACAGTGATTCGACGAATATTGTAATTAATTCAAGGCTTGTCACCGGCGGAGAAGCGGGAACATCTGTTTTACTAGATCAGATGGTTTAGGTATTTACTAATAATTTATTAGTAAATACCTAAACCATCTGTCTTACAAAAAAATATACGATACACCAAAGGATATTGTCTAAAGAATGTGCTAATGTGTTACACGATAGAATGTACTCTACCCGATCATATAAAATCCCGAAAACAGGCTAAAATAAAAGTGTAAAACTGTAACAACTATAACCTCAACCCGCCAATAGTTCCATCGCGCCACCGCTAGATGGCATTAGTTGTACTCTGAAACGCGCTACCGTTTTGTTAACTCCGATAGTACGGTAGATAGAACGGCGCTCAAGTTGTTGAGACGGTTCTGTATTATTTCTGCTACCTAAGGTTTGGCACTGAACTGTGTTCTGAAAGCACACAACTGTGTGCTTTCATGCTTACTGTTGAGTCCATAACCCTGTAAATTTACAATTTTTGATAAAAATATACGCCTTTCTACACGGAAGTCTGCGTCTAATTCGTCGTTCTACGTACCCCTTCTCCGCTAACCCACGCTACAAAATAAAATATCTAAGGAAAACCTGCTAAATTTTTGTTTTCAATTAAGGCCCTCAATTCGCATTTATCCCAATATTTAGCACCTTTACAATGAAAGTGACCCAATTAAAAAAATTAATAAAATGAGTTTATATAGTAATACGACTTTAAAAATCATTGTTCATAAGGTTGTTAATCGGAACCTGATCTATTAAAGCTCGAATGATTCACTATATGCGTCTGTTTTATTATATCATTTTATTATCTCGAGTCGGAATGGCAGTGCCGCATTTAGTGTCGAAACTACACTTACAAACACAACACACTGTCACTGTTGGCGAAAAAGTGACTGATTAGCAATAGAGACATTAAAAATCGTTAAATTTTTACAAACGCGACTTACTTTATTACATTCAGGACTTTCTTTCACAATTAAAACCACTTAATCTTGATAAGATTATAACACGTTGCCTAGCTGGTTAAATTCAAAGGGACTCAATTCTTAACACGTCAACTGATAACAAAAAAATTTCAATAAAAAAGAGAGACGTTATGGTGACTAGTTTTTGTAAAAACTAGTCGCCATAAGTATTAAAATAATCTAAAACCAATTTCTGCAGTTGTAAAGTTGAACATTTGATCATTATTTACCAAGACTAGCTGTAGTACTTCTAGAGTAATAAATTAAATATTTTGAAAATGTCACAACTTCAAATCTTATTTTGGCTATTCCCAAAAAGAGAAATTTTGTATTGGGTCTCTTTCATTGTAAAGGTACGATTAGCAAGATGCCCAGCAGTTTAGTGACATGCCGCGCCGCCCACTGCCAGACACCATCGGGCGCTTGTCGTCGTCAGATCTGTGTCAGACTTCCCTCAATATCCTAAAATCTAGGCTCGCGTTGAAGTACGCTTTCAAATCTCATAAATTTCTCATCGTTTTCCAGGGATCAACGTAGTAATCTACCCCGAAATGCTGTGCGCGGGGTACAGAGGCGGAGGCAAAGACAGCTGTCAAGGCGACAGTGGAGGGCCACTGATGCTCGAAAGGGCAGGCCGGTGGTACCTCATCGGAGTCGTCTCAGCAGGGTACAGCTGTGCCAGTCGGGGGCAACCAGGGATCTATCATCGAGTAGCTCATACGGTGGATTGGATTTCTCATGCTACTACGTTGTCGTAGCCGTACAGTGTAATGTGATTGTGGCCCTAAATTGTACAGAAAATTTGAGTAGAAATAGGGAAAAAATCATCCGTCACATGTGATCATAATTATGTCATGTACTTTTATCACATGACGCTTTAAAGGCAAAATGGGATAAGCGACACTTTTGGTCATTATTGAGTTATATATACCGTTGGGATCAGCTAATTTTTTTTATTCCAACGGTATATGAAACCCAAAAATGTCGCTTATCCCTTTTTACCTTTCAAGCGTATGAAAGTCAAAAATAATGCCAACTACATGAATGAAATTATGTATATATGAAATTTAATAACAACTCTCCTTTTTAAACATAAAAAAATTATCGAGTATTTCGGTCGTTGAATCTTTTAACCTCTCTCCTGAAAAGTTGTCATTTTGTAGATGTGGCATTATTTCACCAAGGGTACATAATGGGGAAACCTTTTAATTCTAGACATTTCTGTCTGTAAAAAAACCTCTGCAATTTTAACTTTTTTTTTTTTCAGAGTCATTATTACAGTAACGGCACGCTATTATGGCCGTTTTGACAGATTACAATCGTGAGGTCAAATCTCAATTCACTATCGAAAAAAATATAATTAAATGCGAGTCACATCTATAAGTTTTTAGATTTATAACTAATATTGCAAGCGGTATCGTATTAAAAAGTTTTAATAAAACGAAAATAAAAATATTTCTGTACTATATCGTCAACTCGAAACTGCTTTGTTTTGCATTGAGCTTTGACGCGAGTTTGTCGGAGGTAGAAGTTGTGCTACACAGCGATCCGATAAGTAAAGATCGTGTTAGATTTCATTTTTTTAAATTTCGAACGACAAATACCGAGTTGTGTCGTAAAATTACACATTCTATAAATTTTGCTTTACAACAATGTACAGCAATTAGCTCCTTCAAAGTAATTATGAATTAATACGAAACTCATGAGCGGACAAATATCAAAACGGCCATCATAGCGTACTATAGTAAAGCCTATAGTTATATTTCAAACCAGTTTTATTAATAAAATAAGGACCTCTATTTTGAACTACGATAACTTTATCTTGAAATTGTGGACGGCCCCAAGAATGTCTTCAGAAGAAACTATCGTACCCTTATTCGTCAAAAATGGTTTTACCACATGAAAGTCGTGATGTGAAAATTTATCACTCTTCTATTAAAAATTTATCGACTAAATCGTTCGCATAATCTGTAAACCTCTCATCTGAAACGTTGTGATTTTGCAGACGTGGCCTTATCTTGACTTATTCACCTAGAGTGGCATTTCATTGCATGGCATTTTTAATTCAGTCAACAAATGCAGCCATTATCTTGATACACAACAGCAGTTCAAACAACAGTTTGAACACGTGTTGTTTTTGTGTTTCATTCTTTACATTTTTTCTGTATAATTTAGGGCTTAATAAGTGTGGACTTTGGTGTTTTTAAAGTTTTGAAGTCAAGTCTTTTTAGTACATATAATCTTTTTTCTGTTGTACCATAGTTTATGTCTACCCTTTGTTAGAGTATTAATGGTGGTAATTCTGTTAAACAAATTGTTAAACTAAACTTAGTTGAGTCAGTAGATATTGCCACGTAACTAAATTCTCACAGTATTATCTTGTCTCATTGTAAAAAAGTAGTACCTCTGTACTTTCGTGGTAGTAGAGCTCCTTTTGTTTATCCAGAGTGGGACTGCCACCTTACCTGTTTCTGCCTCCAAGCAGTAATATCAGCATTACTGTCTTCCGGTTTTGAAGGGTAAAGGTGCCGGTGAAATTACAGGCACATGGGACTTGTCAACTTATGTCTCAGGGTGACGAGCGCAGTGGCAGTGTCACTCAGATAATTGTGATTTAAAGCTCTGAGTGGCACTGCAACTGTTATGGACAGGCGTGTACCTTACCATCAGGCGCACGACTCATTCGTCTCGTGACTTGGTATTATAAAAAAAACAAGAGAAATAACATTAACTCCCTGAACGCTTAGACTAAAATCAATTTAGAAAATTGCTTGGACTAAAAATTATATTATGTACGCATTTTACACGTAGCATTAATTTTAGTTCCGTAAAACTAAGTTTAGTTTTACAAACTTACTTTACAGAATTGACGCCATAGTTACTCTTACAAATATGTTAAATTGGTTCCCATTTCTTTTAAATACATTTTTTTTAAATATCGACAGGTTATATCGACCTCTGAATAATAAAGTGACAAAAAAAAGTAAAATTTCTAGAAAAGTGACAAAAAGAAAAAAAAGATATTTCGCTGCCTTTATACAATAACGTAATGTTGCACAATATTATGGTTTTGAACTAAGCATACAACGACGAGAAGAGCATGCGAAACTTTATCGTGAACATGGACTCAAGTGGACTGCCAATCGCGATAGGAGACAGCGTCGTTGGGTATTTAGTACCTTTTAGTACACCAGATATCGCGACGAGTAGCAAATACCTATTTTTGTAACTAATTTGTTTTACATTGACGAGATACAATTTATCAAATCTACTCAAATTTTTAATCAAGCACAAACCAACTAGATGGCGCTTTTTTCATAGATTTATTTTATGAATACTGCCGGCTGTTCTTTTATTTTGTTTAGGATTAACGCCATCTATCCATATTAGCGAGCGGTAATTTATAAATTAGTTTCTAACACACAATGCCGTCTATTGACACGCTTGTTTATCAAAGCTCAGAAATTAATTTTAGCTCATTTTTCGGTCTCCGTAAGTTCGATCGTGTTCAGGAATTTCGCGCTCGGTTTAAATGGCTCCAAACTCGCCTTCGCCGTGATGTGCAACTCCCCTTCCTACCTTCGTTCCCGGTTCCAGTTGTTATCCCCTCCCACCCGCTCCAGGCGTCCATCACTAAGATGCTCGTTCGTCCTAATTGTAAAATAAATTTCTTTTTTAACTCCATTTCTTCTTGTGCAGCGCAGTTGTGGAACAGACTCCCTTCCCATATTCAGTCTAGCCCGTCTATCGCTTCTTTCAAGAAAAGATTGAAAGCGCACTTTCTTGCTTAACTCTCTTAGTAATCATTTTAATGTATTTTTTTACATACTTACTTATGTATATATGTACCTACATGTATATATTACACTATTTACATATTAATTCTATTTATTATGATTCATTATAATACTCATGTAAGTAATGGTATTTTTGAAGTTTTTATCTACACACATGTCATAAATTCTCTATAATGTGTCCAAAAACCGCAAATTACGACCAGCATAAAGGTAAACCGTTTTGTTACAACAAATTTCTTATCTGTGAAAATGTTATTGTTGCTTCTTAGTAACATCGAATTCGATGTTATTATTACATTCAAATTTCGAACAACTCTGAAAATCAGTCGAGATGAAGTTTTGTACGAAATGAAATGTCAATAGCAAACAATTTTGACAATTTCACACGTTACTTGATATCGAACGATATGATAGTTGGGGCCGATTTTAGTTCGTTTATGAATTGAAAATAAAAACTACGCTTATTGACATGCGTGCGAAAAGTTTTTATTTGCCTCCATTTCGCTAGTCGTAACATGCGGTTCCTGAACACATCATAGAGAGCTTATGTAGTATGTGTGTAGATAAAGCAGTGTATGTAATTGTACATAATTAGGCATTAAAACACTTGTGTGAAACCCATACTCGTATATTAATGCCTTTCATTATGTAACAGTCACATAAATTACTATTATTTATGCAGTTTATTATATTTCTTCCACACTCTCTCTCTTGCACGCTATTGCCCGCTTATAACCTTAGCTCTCAATGCCCTCGGTTGGCTGGAAGAGATCTCTTTTAGTGATAAGTCCACCTTTGCTGACTTTCTGTTGTATTTATTTGGTGCAATAAAGAATGTATATAAAATTTTATTAATATTTATTACAAGCATTGACTTACAATTATATGGACGTCGGGTCCGCTCTAAAAAGTGTCCGCACTTGTAAGGCGCTAAAATCGTATACAGAGCGCGACACTCCGCTTTAGTCTTCATTTGTTCTACTTACAGCGCGATACTGCGATGACATAACAATTTAAATTTCGAATAGGTTGACTTGGGACATTTTTTTCGTGGTTTTTGTATTAGACCCGTCGTCCATTTATTTGTAAGTCAATGGTACTTGTATTTCATATTAAAGACGGATTGATATCCACGGCTATTTGCATAATATAAACTACTTTCAGGCCATCGATCAGCGCCAGTTAGATTTAAGAAGTGGTTTTGACCTTTTTTTTTGAGTTACGATCTGTAGTATGAAGATTGGCAATCCTCTCGAGTATTGCTCCATGATCGTGAGTGAAGCGCCCGTCTTTTTACGGTAAACATTATTTTTATACGTAGTTCAAAATCGTATTGTTCTACATTATTGCGTTATTAAAGGCAGCGATAGCTTAATAAATACTTTTCAACCGACTTCAAAAAAACAGGTCCTCAATTCGACTGTAAGTTTTTTTTATCATGTTACGCAATAACTCCCGCATTTGTGAATGACTTTTGAGGTCGGTTTTTTTAGTACACTGTCCTGAGATTATTCATATCAAGTAGAAGTTTGTAATCTTTGATTGGTGCTATGTACGTTTCTTTTTAAATCCGTTTTGTCTGTTTTCCAAAAGTTATGTTTTGGATTTAGTCACTTTATTATTAGGATATGTTCACTACGTTGTATAGTTATGAGGAACTATAATTTACCACTAGCCACACGAATAATTGATGTTATAAGTCATTGCAGCGCGATTATTTATTTTTTTAGGAATGGGATTAAAAATACTCGTCTGGCATTACTTGTTCGTACTATCTAATTCTGACGCTATACATCAGAGCAAGATAGCACGATGTTCCCTTTTCCTTACATTTCTTTGTTCAATTTAAAACAAAGTATTATCAAAAATATTCCAAACGTATGAGAGAGAAAAAAAACTGTAGCTGCAACCTGAGAGTTTTCATTTCTTCCAATTTTTTTTTTATAATTTTAGATTTTTAGAAAAGAGAATGTGATACTGGTGAATTTTGAAATAAAAATTATAACTGTTTCATAAAATAAGAAAGATCGCCGAATCGCAAAGTAAATTTAAAATATAATTCATAAGTGCCTATAGCATTTTGTAAATATTTTTGTTAAATAAAAATAATGTGTACATAATAAATAATAAATATAGGTAATTAAAAATAAATATACAAAGCAATGAAACCATAATTTTTAAGTAATAATTAATTTAAAATTACCATGTGGATGTAAATAAATTATTGAAAGTGACAATATCATTCGAATAGGAGAAATAAATTATTTATTACAAAATTGACACATTTTGTCATAAATAAGAAAAAATAAGAACGGAATCGCAGTAATATTACCAATATTGATTAAAATGATCATATTTCTCACCATTGATAACCTATCTCATTTTAGAAAGTATTTTATTATTATTATTATATATATAAAGCTACAAGTTCTAACTCACTGATAGATATAGAACGCATGCTTCCCGATATGGTGGAAAAAAAAAATTTATGCCCTTGTTATCAATAAAAACACAATCCAGTTGAGCTTTATATTTTGTCTTTGGATCGTCCTACTGTAGGTGATGTAGAGTTCAATATAAATCTTAGTTCTAGGTTTGAAAAACTAATTCACATAATGTCAAAAACAAACATAACTCATACCCGTCTCGCTTTCTAGAGACACACGGTGTCCCTAGAAACTAACGCATGTTTTCATCCACCATTATAAAAAAAAATTGTAAAAGACGAAACTATTTAGTCGGATCATTTTTATTAAAAAATTTTACAAAAAGAATACTTATCGATTTAAAGATGGCAGCGCTATGAAAACCTGGGCCGTGATTTTAATTATCGGGTAACCCACTCGCAATATTATTTATACGCCTCGAAAAAGACGCAGTTTCCGATCGGGAGAGGCAACTAAAATTGAGCTGCTGAGTAGATTTATCCGTGCATCGCAATTTAAATCAAAATCGCCTATATTTATTTTTCAAACAAACCAACATGACGAACCTTTCATAGTCCCATAATCACAGTTGACACATGGGACCTGTAAAAGAGTCAACTGTGACTGTAGGATCTAAAAGTGAAATGGTCTGAAACCGTTTGTTTGAAATAACAAACGCGATTTACATTCGACAAAAAATAGTTTCATTTCCTATGTGTAACAATCGCGAAAACCTACGAACTCGATTTGTAAAAAAAAAAATGCAGAAATTGGTAAAAAACAAATTGAAAAATGTTGTTAGAGACATCGTGTGTCTTTAGGACGCGTGACGGGTTAAATTGACCGATTGACGTACATAAGTAAAACTCGTTTGTTTCAAATTAATATCTAATGGCGTTTTTTCTTTCTTCGCAACTTAAAAAATTATAATAATATAGTTATTAAAAAAAATTATTTACTCATGTGCTCAAGTCTGCAGATAGTAAAATTATAAAGGCAGAAGTACAATTGTCCGTACCTATCTAGCCAACAATGGAAGCACTACATCATCAGTTAAAATATCTACCTCCTTCTGTGTAGTTGAGTAATATATTGGGCCTACAACTAAATGATTTTTTTCTCCTATTCAGCTGCATATGTTTAAAGAAATAAGAAAACGCTTTAAATTATTTTTGAATGCTTGTTATTTATACGATTTGAAATTTCTAATTCTAATTTCTAATGTTTTTTTACAACATGAGGAATTGAATTGACAACGAAATTCAGTAATTGCACTATTTAATGAAAATTAATGAAAATATATTTATTGTTACCCAAGAGAAATATTGTTTTATTTATTTCTATTAACATAAAATCTATTTTACGATCACTATTTTCTTACGTTTGATGACTAGAAATGCTGTTTCTTAAAATGTATTTACAATAAACAATAATAAATATAAAATTCAACAAACATTTTCAAAAAAAAATAAGAAAAATACGTTCTCAATTCAAATACAAGTCGTTGATTAATTCAATCGTGAGCTAAGTCACCAGCCCATTGGGATGTGGTATTTTCGAACGAGTTTCGATAAGAATTTGTATAGAGGGCGGTAGTATCTTTTGATAGGAAGCACAGATACGTGATCTTTGCCAGTTGTTGATTGTAGAATTTCGCGCCAGTGCTGGGAATGGCCTCGGGACATCAGATCTCTGGAAAGAAAAAAAATGTTAATAAAATATAACATAATATAATATAACATAATATAATATAAATAGTCCCGGGTCATTTCGAGAGTCTCGATATTTTTTTGGCATTTTTGAGACTCAAGACTGAAGTTTCCAGTCTGGGGAATATAGAAGCATTTGAGATTAAAGTCACTTAATTAAAAAGCCTAAAAAATATACTTGCTATATGGTTGTGGTGGGTAAGGTAGAGGGAAAGAGACTCCGCGGTCGATCACCTAGCCGATGTAGTAACCAAGTGACCACCCTTACTGGCCTCCCTATAACAACTGCCCTGCGAGAGTCCGAAGACAAAACCAGATGGAAGAAAATCGTCCATAAAGTCTCGAAAACCATTCGGGGACCCGACCTTCAGCAATGAAGATAACGACTAAGAAGAAAAGAAAAATATGCTAGATACACAGTATTTTTCAATGTGGTTACATAGATATGGCAAGACGAGTATCTGTAACTTTAAACGGCGTAGTATGCATCTTACGTACTAAAAAATTAAAAAAATTACTTTATTAATGAAAATAAATTTGATTTTGTAATTTGAATTAATAAATAATTTATTAAAGTTTTTTTACTTTATAATTTGAGGTAATAAAAAAATTATTAACTCAAATATAACATATAACACTTTAATAATTATTTAATAATTATAATTTGTTTTATATAACTTTCTAAGTTTTATCTGTTTTTCGGTTTGTTGTGTTTATTAATTAATAATAAATTGGTAACATTGAATGCTCATAAGTTTTTTGTTAGGTTAGGTTAGGTTTTGTAGGTGTTACTTTTCTTAGAAAGAAATTTTAGTGTCCTAAGTGTGGTTTATCAATAATACATTTAACTTTATACACATTACCCATCGGCAGGAAAGAATAAAAGCTAATTGTATAATTTGACACTTAAATGCCATATCGACTGTGAACTGGCAACCGGTAATATCTCAATTTTCACAACTTTACAGGATGAAGAAAAAATCATTTATATAGCATCTGGTTTATTAAATAAAAATACGTAGTGTACGTACATATGTACATGTGTAATAAAAATATTTCATAACTTCGTATTTTTATATAATAAACCAGATGCTATATAAATGACGCAAACAATTTTTTTCTTCAGTTCACAGTCGATATGGAAGTATCGCGAGCGACGAGTGATCCGCTAAAAGATCGAACGTAAGATCGAATCATTTGACCCGATCACATTACGCATGGGTCATGATCGACCGGTGTTATCAAAAATGATCAACCGACTCAGATCTATTTGGTAGCACCACTGGCTCAACGCCAGAAAGTAACTTCCTAACAAAAATACACGTAGAAAACCCACTTCAGAAGTCTACCAGCTGTCTTAGATCCATAAATGTCGCATCGGTTCAATGGAATCGTAGAGGGAAGTGCTTCGGATATGTCGCGACGACCAAACACGGCAGCTTTACAAAGGCTCTCGAATAACTGATGCTGAAGGAAGCTGCTTAGGAAGTATCTGAAAAAGAAAATGACATTTTTTAAATAATATCAAGTGACGGAACAAACCGTAAGCGACACTATCCATAACAGTTGCAGTGCCACTCAGAGCTTTAAATAACAAAGATCTTAGAGATTACCCTGACACATAAGTTGACAAGTTCCAAGTGCTGAAATTTCCCAGCGCCCTTACCCTTTCAAACCGGAACGCAGTAATGCTCACATTAGTGCTTGGCGGCAGAAATAGTTAAGGTGGCAGTACTTCCCTGGACGAACTCTTTCACAAGGACCTTCTTTTCTACTGCTATTGAATATAGAAGGTTTTCTAGAAGTTATCTTCCAATTGTATCTACACATATACTAATAACTATTGTTGTATTGTTAAATACCGCCTCTCACTTGGGACTGGTGTAGTTCCCAGGTCGTGGAAGCTTGCAAACGTGCATTCTGTGCAAAAAAGGGAAGTAGAGCTGACCCTGTCAACTATAGACCTATCTCAGTCACTTACATACTCTGCAAGACTATGGAACGTGTACTCAACAACCGTCTCCTATCGTACCTTGAAGACAACGACCTCCTCAGTGATCGCCAGTACGGATTCCGACGAGGGCGATCTACTGGGGTCTTTTTGCGTATGTCTGTCACATATGGAGCGAGGCTATAGAAAAACAAGGCGAATCACTTGTAGTGTCTTTGGACATTTGTAAAGCCTTTGACAGGGTCCGACACGCAAGCCTTTAAAGTAAGCTTCCCTCTTATCGGCTTCCCACTGACCTTTGCAATTGGATCTCGGATTTCTTGAGCGAACGTTCGAGTTCGAGAGGTCTTAGAAGGCTACTCTTCCGAACATATGGCGATAGTTCCTCAGGGTCCTTCCGTACTGTCTGCAACCCTCTTTCTGCTGCATATCAATGATATGTTAATTCCAGGTACCTTGACCAATTACTTTACTTGGCCAGTGCCAGGGTCAGTGGAGAAGAAATCCAGTCTTGTTGAGAGTCCATGGCTAGCCGTTTAGATTTGACACTCCAGGCAGTCTCCGATTGGGCAATCTTGTCAAATTTAACGCTACCAAAACGCAGGCGTGTATATTCTCCACAAAACGGAGCCCCTTTGAGCTGACTCCGACTTTTCGTGATATATCCATACCGATAACCGATTGTCTCCAGCTACTTGGAATGGACCTGTCGTCCAATTTAAACATCGGCAGATACATTTAATCCATGGCCAAAAATGCAGAAAGGAAGCTTGGGATCCTTTCCAGGGTGAGGTGTTACTTAACACTGGGACAGTTGCTTCAGCTGTACCAAGCACAAGTCCGATCGTGCATGGAGTACTGCTGCCACCTCTAGGATGGCTCTGCTACTTTTCAACTGGCCACTTTGGACTCAATTGACAACCGTGCCAAGAGGCTTATAGGTGACTCGGAATTAGTGGAGGCGAAGCTGCAGAGCCCTGAACACCGCCGTAAAGTTGCCTGCTTATCGGTATTTTACTGGATATATCACGGAGAGTGTGCGATGGAATTACACGATTTAAGTTCGCCTTCCACTTTCTGTCACCGGGGGACTAGGCGTAGGCTTGGGTTCCACCCCTATGAGGTGGATATACCAAAGATTCGCACGCAGCGTTACGCTTCCACATTTATACGGCGAACGGCTATGGAGTGGAATTCCCTGCCTGCAGACTTGTTCCCTGAACGTTATAACTTGGACGTTTTCAAGGCGAGAGTGAATAGGCATTATTTAAGTGTGCGTGCTCCATCATCGACCTCATCGTCACTTTCCATCAGGTGAGATAGAGGTCAAATGCGCACCTATATTTCATATAAAAAATAAATATAGCGTATCGTCGGGGTGCAATCACACATAACTAGCATTTGATTATTAGTTTCCATTTCGGTAATTTAATGTCCAAATCAATTCCTATTCAAAAGACGATTTAGAATTAGAAAGTGAGCGTAGAGCTCTGGCTATAAGAGGCAACATGTTAGCCCGTAGGTTCGCGAAGTCTAGTGACGATGCAAAAATTGTCCTATTCAAGGCTTTTGCCAAGCTTTTTATAGTTGCACCCTCTGGGTCAACTATACCTTAAAATCTCTAGGCACCCTACGAATTTTGTACAATAACATATTCAAAATGTTGTTGAAGCTGCCGCGATTGTGCAGTGCATGTTCGCCATAGGTGGGCAAGATGGTTTTGCAGCTATCATGCGAAAAAGAACTGCTTCCCTAGTGTATAGAGTTCGTGGCAGTGACAATAGCTTCTTGAGTATAATTGCAAACAGGGTCAAGGGTTCTTTTCATGATCACTGGTCCCGGTTGTACATTAGTTTTAGAAAAAAATGTTATTTGTAGTACAAACTCTATTTAAAGTTATAATTATTAATACAAAGATCGAACACTCAGAAAAAGCACTCAGAAAAAATTCCTTCGATCCGGTCGGATTCGAACCGACGTCTTCTTGCATACCGTGCCAGACGCTATACCAACTAAGCCACGGAACGAACCAACGGACCTCACGAATTTTTCTATGTGCTTTCGTCGTGTCTTTGTACTTGGTCTTTCAACGACTTTCTAGTCGTAGCGCCATCTATGAGAAATCTTTGACAGATTTATCACCCAGTTAGTACCTTTACAGCTACCAATCCTGGCGAGAGATGTCGCTATTCACTGTATTAATTAAATTTTTATTGAATTGATATTCAATTATTTTTTGTGAAATTACTCCACTAGTTTGTTATAATTATTAATACAAAGATCGAACACTCAGAAAAAGCACTCAGAAAAAAATCTATTTAAAGTGTTTTGTTACTAACCTCTATGGATGAATATTCCGAAATAAAGATATTTGAATTTGAAAAAAATTGAATTTGATATCCGTGTAACTGTTGTGTCAACCAAATTATCGTATTTTATGGGAATCTATTGTTATCAGTCCGTAGACAACATAAATTAATGCTTACTGTGCAAAAATGAAAGTCGTAGCCTTTGAAATAACAAGGTAATAAAGTTAAATCCCTCTCCTGTAAAATTTGGTCTAGTGCAGATACGCGCCTTTTACCAATAATACTACATACGCGGATTTGCACTGTCCCCGACGTTATTTCTTTAATCACTAATACGTACAAACAATCATGCTTAAAATACAGATACTCATTTATTTTGTTTAGGTATTGCAAATACACTACTAGAGTCCTAATATTTAATTCTGTAGATGTAGAAGGGTTTTCGAAATTTAGATGTTTTTACAAACATTGCTTTAGGGCGGTAAATAAAGAATTACGAACGAGACTTTATCAAATGCCCGAAGTCGAATTTGAGAAGTGAGGACTCGTAATTTCCGTACAGGCCCGTCAAACATACAATTTTTTTCATCACAATTGCATGTATATAGTATGATTGCATGAAGGCGAACTTGACTATAATGTCCCAAATAAAACACTCGGGCCTGTTTTCTTCTCATAACAGCTTACAAGACAATTTACAGATTTTACGTCTGATTACTTTTAGCACACACACTCATTACCCCGCACTAGACAACCCTGAGTCGCGAGTGCCATAAACACATACATAGATAAACCATAAATTACACCCAAAATCACGAGATAAATAAATGTAGTTCATATAAATATTTCTCCTGGCCTGGGAATCGTACCCGGTACCTCTGCGTGGTAGTCTAGCATGGTAACCGTTCCCACGGAGGCAGTTAGATTAATTTTAGTAGCAGTGGAGCTCCTTGTGAAAGGGTTCGTCCAGGATAGTACTGCCACCTTACCTATTTCTGCCGTCAAGTAGTAATGTCAGCATTACTGCGTTCCGGTTCTGAACAGAGATTTGTCATTATGTCTCAGGGTCACAGGCGCAGTGGCAGTGCCCCATAGATCTTTGCGAATTTAAAGCTCTGCGTGGCACTGCAATTGTTATGGACAGGCGTGTTGCTTTCCATCAGGCGCACGACTTGTTCATCACGTCACTTGTTATTATCAAAAAAAGAGCCTCATTCTCTTTAAAACGCTCTATAGTAAAAATTACTAATTAATATTTACCTTCATGACTATTCTATATTATATTATCATATCGAAATCTCTAATTAACACTACGCCTACGCCTACTTAATTTTTTGGATCTATTTTTATTTAAATTTTTTGTTTCTTTATTTTTTTTCTTAAAATTCGTTTTTTGTTTCTTTTCCGGATATTGTTTTTAATTTTTATATTTCACGTATTTAGTAAATACAGCCGTTTACATTAAAAACAGAACATGACCAAAAAATTTAGTTAGCGTATTTGTACACATATGTACATTGGAGGTGTCGATATTGTTTATTTATTTATATTATTATTGCTTCCTTTACATTTATTTTACTTATTTTAGATTAATGAGATAATATTCATCTTTAAGGCAACGACCCAAAAAGGCTTCACACTTACCTGATGTAAGGAGTATTATCCGGTACATGAAACCTAGCTCCAATGTCAAAATACTTCTCATCTCTTTCTTCCGGGGGACTTATTCCCTGTAACTTCGAAGCCATTATCCAAAAGTCGCTGTTCAGAGAGTGCACTTTGATATCGCCTTCGAAAAACCGCCAACGATATTCCTCAATGAGGATCGCGAAGGGTATTTGGGGGATCTTGTTCAGCGCTTGTTTGAGGAGGAGAATTATATCTGACGACGTGTTCTAAAAAAAGAAATTGCCATAAAATCAGTACCCAATCATGCTGTCATTTTATTTACAATGTGACTGACATACAAATGGCGTTTGAGCAGACAATTGAAATCATAATGCATCGAGTATATAACCAGAAATAGAGACGAAATAAGGGCCATCCATCCCTGGCAACTCATCAGGCAAATGGGCCTTATATCACTTTTAAATATCAACTCTCGTTTGCGCTGAAATCACAAATTAGAAACTGAAATAGTACAGCGCCCACAACCTGTGTGTACGTCTCCGTATATTCCTCCGTATATGTATATGTATTTATTGTAATAAAGATATCTCTAACAATGGGGGCTGTTCCATTCGGTTGTGTGGGATAAACAGCAAAACATCTAATTACAAAACAAACGGAATCACATTTCGTCGGTAACTAAATATGTAATTTTGCAATCGTCGTCCAATATAGCAAAGTTCAAGTTAAACTAGTCGATTTGAAGGGAAACAATTGACGACACTTGTCAATTGTTTCGAATTCGGGCTGACCAATCGGAGCGCAGTTGTCACAGTAATGATTTGGCAGAATAGTTTTCAAACAAATTAAATGACATTTCGTCTCTATTTCTGGTTATATACTCGATGTATATGTTATACATACCGATTTACTCGTGGTACATTGTAATAATAGTTGTTATATTTTATTGGGTTTCACAAACAATCTAGTTGCTGCAAGTGCTTCTCAAAGTCTTGATAATTACCAACTAGCAACCTTGGATTAAGTTGGAAAGCGTGTCAAGAAGCTTATAGGCTACTCGAGTCTAATAGAGGTGAAGCTGCAGAGAGATTTTACAGGATATATTACAGAGAACATGCAATGGAAATGCATGATCAGGGGACTAGACGCAGGCTGGAGTTCCACACTCATGTTGTGAATATTCTAAAGACCCGCATGAAGCATTTCGCTTCCACATTAATACGACGAACGGCTATGGAATCGAATCCCATGCCTACAGGCTTATTCCCTGAATGCTATAACTGGGGCCTTTCCACGGTGAAAGTGAATAGATATTATTTGTGTGTGCTGGCTACATCGTATCGTTGACATTTTTTAAATAAAAATGTGTTCTTTTAAAATGGTTTGCGAATTGAAGTTCAAAAATTGAAGCTATTGCCCTAGAAAAGTAATTTTGTCGCGTAATTGTCGGTTACGAACAAAACTGCCTCATGATCTCTGCAATAGGGCAATGGAATTTATACTGCAGAAATTGAGCAACAACTGTCGCATTTTGGAGTACAGCATAATCGCAGTTGCCAGAATGCTTGCCAATCGTGACAGTTACGACACTATTTTTTTGGGTAGGCCATCCGAAAACGATATTTCTGTTTTCACGATCTGAAACCATTCACCTGCAAAAGGTTAATATCTGGGACGAGCCTTCCGTATCACTACTCCCTTTTCTAATGTGAGAAACACAAGATCTGTGGTAATAAGATATATTATCCACTCACCGTAATATCAGTATTCATTCCAAAATCCTCGCTAACAATGCCATCCTGGTCATCCACAACGTTGTCATCGCGAGTGTCATTGCCCGTTGTATAAAGCATGGAATCGTTTATCAAACGCAGTCGATGTAAATGCTGCGGTGTCATAACTCCGTACATGACTGCGTCGCCTATTGATTCATGAAGAGCTGAGTTTGCTTGCTGTAACGAAGGACATTAAGTTTTTGAAACACTTTAGAAAGTATGCATAAGAGGGGAAAGAAACACAGAATCAAGGTCACCGTTATTGTCACTTGGGTTCATCATCAACCCAGGTGCAATCCTCTCAGACGAAGATTCAAGCCTTAGTCCGCCACTCTGGCTGAATGCGAGTTAGGGACATTATACGTTTTCTGAGGGTTGTGCCTTCTTCGAGATTTCCTCACGATGTTTCTTCACCGAAAAGCTCATGGTAAATTTCAAATTAAATTTTGCACATCAATTCCGAGGTGCGTGCCCGAATTTAAACCCTCGGCCTCTGCTTGAGAGGCGGTAGGTCAAATCTTTAGGGTACCATGGCTTTTACGCTTGGATTTATTCACTGAAAATTATCAGATCATTCTGACATAATGCAAAAAAATCTTTAAAAAATCAGATATTACCCTGAATAATGTAGGCTGATGTGCATAGGCCATGTAGTATTGTATATGTCCCAGTTCATGATGGATGATGCGGAAATCATCTGGCGATGTTTCCGAGCAGTACAATAATCTACAAAGAGTGACAAGTTAAAAAATGCTATCAAAATCCGAGCCGTTTTTGAGTACATAGAAGAAACTATTCTTCTTAGTCGAATTGCGACTCACATAGTGGTCGTGGTCTTCACTAGGCAAAAGTCTGTGTTGATACGCCTCAGTTCGCGTTTGTCATTGTCTATTTCTTTGGTGATTTACCACTGACTTTACATCACCAGCCAGACTTTACAAACACCAACACCATCACACGCTTTACACCTGTGCTGCCTAGTTTGACTCACAGAAAGTGTGCGATGGATTTGCACGATTTAATTCAGCCTTCCCCTTTCCATCATCGGGAAACTAGGCTGGAATTCCACCTCTATGTTGCACCTACTCCAGGGAGTCGCATAAAGCGTTACGCTCGCACATATATATGGCGAACAGCTATGGAGTGGAAATCCCTTCCTGTAGACTTACTCCCTGAACACCATAACTTAGGCTTTTCAAATAGATATTATTTAGGTATACATGCTCTACCGAAGACTATTTGAGTAAGAAAGAATTGGCATGGAATGGAATAAGGAAAGAATACGATGCATAAAATCAAAGATGAGCAGGAGCGGTCCCTGTACATTAAATTATATGTTTACAACGATCGTCAAGCCGTTTCCTGAAATCGATAGCTAAAGGAGACTTATGTCCTGTATTATCTGGAGTACAGTATACTAAAGCGCTGTTATTAACTTATGTGTCGAACCGATAACCCGAATTTACCGATAATCATCCTGCTTGTACATATCTGCCGCCATGCCGTGGCATCTTGCGCTCTCGTAGGTCCTTCTCGAGAATACAGACTTCTCCCAAAACGAATCTGGCAAATCTGGCAGACCCAGGGATCTGTAGAAATCTTCTGCCATTTTAATCTGCAAAATGTCAATCAGACCATGTTGAATTGATCTATAATACCCCAAAGGGTATAAAAGGTAATAATCCTTTGCAGATACTGCGAGATAGTGATGCGCGACCTTGAATGTTATTAACAATACCGAATGCCTCTGCCATTCGGTTGGATGCACGAGTCGAGAGATTATTATATCGGAACACCTCATTCATCATGTCCATACCAAAGTATCCGTGTCCCCGTCACGTACCTACAGTATTTCCCATATGTCTGTCAGAGAGGGCTAGAATGCTTATTCAAATACGAAAATTAGTAGATCACTAATTTGATATTCGAATGACAGGATTAGCGATTACTAAAGAGTCGAATATCGAGATCATTCACAATCGCGCATGGCTACTACGAGAACAGCTAAGAGCACAACAAACTGAACGTTGTAACATGGTTATAACTTGGACCTTTTCAAGGTGAGAATGAATAGGCATTATTTAGATGTGCATGCCCCATCGTCGACCTCATCGTTACTTTCTATCAGGTGAGATGGAGGCCAAATGGAGCACTTACGTTTTATAAAAAAAAACTTAAGATTTAAATTTAACTCTATGCCGCTTAGACAAGAACAATCCAAATCCCAAAATATTTTATAGACACCTCTATCCAGGCAAGGTCTCTGTGCAGCAGTGGACAGCGATAGGCTGATGATGACATGAATTTAATTTATGGGCTTTAGTAAAAATTGTATAGTTAAACCTAAAAATGATAATGGTAAAGTGTAAATGGTAATTGAACTAAATTAAACAGAGCAGGGCAATATAACTCTAAGGCTGTAAATTCGAAACGGCGCGGCGGCGCGTGCAGCGAAGACACGTACGTGCAAACCTTAAACGCTCTGCTATACGCGCCGCCGCCGTTGCGAATTTGCGGCCTGATTGCTCACTGTCGCACAAGCTGCGCAGGCTTAAAATAATAGATTAATTAGAAAGAGATAAAGCATAACGTTCAGCCGTGCCCTCCGGTGGCGCACCCCGGCTCACAAATCTTTTGCTTGATAGGGCCATTATGTACCAGTGGTCATGTGAAAAATCTTTCCCGCCGGACAACAACTTATGGTTAATTTTGATCGCGCTCTGATCGTGTTAAAAGTTACTTACCATTTTGATGACCGTCCATTTCAATTCATTAATGCTGGCTTCGAGATCAATTGTTTTCTCCGTTATTAGATCAGCCAGTGGTTCCCAGTTCTGTGACCAGAGATCGCCTGAAAATTTCATGATAAAACATACATTAATTAAATTTTTATTGAATTGATATTCAATTTTTTTTTTTAAATTACTCTACTAGTTTGTTATAATTATTAATACAAAGATCGAACACTCAGAAAAAACACTCAGAAAAAATTCCTTCGATCCGGTCGGATTCGAACCGACGTCTTCTTGCATACCGTGCCAGACGCTATACCAACTAAGCCACCGAACGAACCAACGGACCTCACGAATTTTTCTATGTGCTTGCGTCGTGTCTTTGTACTTGGTCTTTCAACATACATACATACATTGTTGACGAGTAACTTTGAAATGTCCTCTATACTTATTAGTGTAGTATATTATAGGACATTACCGTGTACCTCAATATTTGGCGAAATGACAGAATGAAAGAACAGACTTTGTCAACGCGATAGCCCGTGTTGCAATTTTGCACGTTTCCTCGGTTACACACACTCCTTCAGAGGAAACTTTCGGTTTGCTTCGTCTAAATGTTGAAATGACATTCCACCCCCGATTAAACTTATCCAGTCATTAGTTACACTTTCTTTTGAAAGTAAAGAAAGGCCTATTAACGTACAGAAATCACAATGTTGCTGGATCAAATTGCTATCGCAACGACATTAGTTTTGAGTTTCTCCTTGAAAGAAGAGGTTCCAGTGACGGTTGTACGTTATTTACTGTTCTTTTACATGCAAAATATAAGTATAATATCATTGGCAAAATATATGTTCCTACGCTCAGAAATGAGTGCCGTACTCGTATTGAGCATCCCCAAATACCTCTAAAAGGATACCCATATAGCATTTTTTGAAAAATTGTGTCCGCCATCTTGGATTTACAAATAAGTGCTATATTCGCAAGGAGCACCCCCAAATATCTCAAAAACGATACCCAACTTGCCATTATTCGAAAAATCGCGCCCGCCGTCTTGGATTTAGAAATGAGTGCCATATTCGTAATGAGCATCCCCAAATACCTCGAAAAGGATACCCATATTGCATTTTTTTTTAAATTGTGTCCGCCATCTTGGATTTAGAAATAAGTACTATATTCGTAAAGAGCACCCCCATATACCCCGTAAACGATACCCAGAATCAAAATCAAAATAATCTTTATTTCATAGGTAAGCATTATTACACTAGAAATCGTCACATTGGTTAAACTCTACCGCTCATTCGTAAGGCAGATTCCCCCGAAAAGTATGAGCAAGAAACTCTTGGGGTTGATCTTTGTAAACAACATTCGTACGCATGTAACTTGCAGAAATGGAGGTCAAATGCACACTTACATTAGAATAAAAATAAAATCTGCAGCCATCGCGATATTGCCTATTCTCAAAAAATTACGTAATATAATTATTTTGAAACAGAATAGCAAAATTGGGAGAAAGAAATCCGTTACTTTGCAACATTTTCGTGTCTTGTACCAACGAAATTAATTTTTATATAAATTTTTGAGCTGTTCGCGGTGTAATTTGACCTTGAGCACTGACAGAGCGGGCGGGCGCCCGCTCGTGTAGGCCCTTTGGGAAGCCTCTAACTTGCCTCACTTAGCGTGTGCGGGCTAGGTTTCTATGCGTTATTATTCTAAGTATGTAAGTATTACATTTGATAAAGGTTATTTCACGAAAGAAAAAACAGTGGAAATGCCTCAAGTCTCGATTACTATCAGAACCGTGGTCGCCAAAACACACGCATTCCTAATTTGAAACACTACAAAATCTTGATAATGATTGGTCATAGTTTCAAATTTTAAAAAGAAATAAAGCATCTGGATTGTTGACATAATTTAAACTTTACCCTGTTGGCATATCGTTGAATGATCAACACCATCAATACCTAATATTCCAAGTCGAGACGTTTTGATAGTATAATGAAATTTTAATCAATGTTCTGCCATCTAGCGGCTAATTGCTGAACTACGACGAATTGGAGTTATTAATTTAGTTGTCCAAAAACAAAGCGATGAACAGAAAATTGAAAATTTACTAAAATAAGACTTAACGATGATTTATGAAATACTACCACGGATAATATTTTTGTGCGGCTATCATTTCTGCACTCCAAAACAGCAATAAAAGGCATTTTTATAGGATTTAAGAGAATTTGTACGAAAGAATGACACAACCATACCATACAAAGCGAAAATGGCGGCCTGAACTCAAGTAGGTCTTTCGAGGCCTATGGTTGGCACACATCAGACGCTAACTAACCACTTCTACTGTATTTATTGTTCTGGGGTTTTTAAAAATATGAAGTGACGGGACGAACAAGACGAAGAAGCCTGATGGTAAGCTACACGCCTGTACACTCAGAGCTTTAAATCGCAAAGGTACAAATTTGTGTTAAGCAACTATGGAATCGATCGACGCGCGACTTGGTTAAAGTCGCTAATAAGTGTCGTAAGTAAGTGATCCAGGCGCGCTACGACGGAGTCGCCATGCGTTGTAGTTGAAAAGCTGAATTGAGCCTTACGCTTCAAAACCGGAACACAGTAATGCTGACATTACTGCTTAGCGGCAGAAGTAGATAAGGAAGCACTTCTTCCCTGGACGAACTCTTTGACAGGAGCTCTACTGCTACTGTTATTTCTATATAGCACGAGAATATTGTAATGAACATCTTAATGCTTTTTTTTTTTCAAATTATGTTTACAAGTTGTAGGTAGGTACAGCTAAGTGACATATAGGCATTATATCACAAGTGCGACTGTTGGTTACATACGATCTTAAGTTCTCTGTGCCTATGTCGGCACTGGTTTTCCCTACTCTTCAGTCCGAAGCACAACAGTGCGTCATTATGATAGAAATATATATATTTCTACACTTTACACCTATTCAAGCAGGTATTCTGCACTAGTAAAACAGATCTATATCAAGGTTACTTATTTTAATATCTTAGCAAAACTCACCCAATAAATGCGCAGGAATCAATCCTTTTTCCGGTACAAGATCTCCATATCGTTTTCTTAAGAAAAACCTTGCCACTCCATGTAATAAAGTATACATTGGCTTTATTTCCTTGTAGAGGGCGTGAGAGAGTTCCCTCAGGTTTGGAATTTCTAGATCTTCACGCCAACACTGCCCTAGATCGGTGTAACCTGGAGAAAAAGCAGAATTAGAAAGTTAGGAATTAGTTTCTACTCAAGTAGTAACGTTAGGTATTGAGTAGATACTATTCATTTTATTATTAATAAAAGTTAGTTCTTTAAATTCCGCTATAGAATTAGGGTACTGATTCAAATTTACAGTGTATAATGTATTATACACGTAGTCAGCTGCCACTGTAACTTTAAAAATCTATGGAAACTGCTTCTACACTAATAACGCCTCTCACAGTCATCAACCTATTATACATGCCACTGTTGGACACGGGTCTCTTCTGAGGAGAGTGTTCAGGGGCCTACCATAACCTTTCAAAAAACAATCTTATTTCAAAGTAAGGTTGTAGTAAGCTTATTATGATATTACTCATATTCGTACCATGACAAAAGTAGCAACCAAGTAATGTATTATTGCTAAAGTGACTGAAAGAAAGTATTTCTTACTAAAAATAGGAAAGAAATAACGCCATATGAATTGTATAATGCCATATCTTTCTTTTTCATGTTCCAAATCGTCCTATCGTAGTATAAAGTTAAAGTACTTAATATTATTTACATTCAGAGAATTGTACCTGCCGAAAAAAGGAAAGTATGTAACAATGAAATCTATTAAGTTGTTTTCAATTATTTTTCTGCATTTTCATAAAGAAAAATAAATAAAACAAGCTGAGTCTTGATTGTCTCGTTGTGAATTCGGAATTTCGGAATTTTACGAAATAAACATCGCGTATTTTTATTTGACGATTATAAATTATTTTTATTTTTTATTTTAAATTATTTCCAATGAACCTGCTATTAAATAAAAAAATAAACAAAATATCGAAAATATATAAGTAAATAAATAAGTTCAATTTAACTTGTAATCATTACAAATCAATATTTAGACAATAAATCCTAAAATAATATTGTTTCCTTTTTTTGTATTGTGTAACTGTCGAGTTCTTAGGTTTTCGCGATTGTTACACATTGGAAATGAAACTATTTTTCCGGATTTAAATTGCATATATTTGTTTTTTCAAACAAACCGACGTTTCGGGCCCTTTACAGGTCCCATGGTCACGGTTGACTGTGACGGTTGCCAATTGTGTAACCCTTTTATGATTGCTAAATTTGACATGAGAACAATATTACTTTATTGTTAAAGTCACGGCTGAGTACGAACTGAGTGAATAGTCACAAAGCTACCAATAAAACATAGTTTTAACATTATAATAAGCTTATAATAAGCGTCATGGTA